TAAAGCTGTTCCTGAAAGCAGAAGAACTAACTAAACTACAACTCTGGGACAAGAGCTGGCAAAAGGATTTTCTTATTCCAAGCAGGTTTAACTTTCTGCATAACACCCAGTGTCTTAAACAAGAGCAACACATCCTAACAGAGAATTTTACTTTTATAAATCCACTTGATAGGAGAAAACATTCATATTTAGCATGACCAGAATCTTATACATCATGAGTACATCAGCAAAACTCCACGTAACTAAGTGCAGCAATACCTGGAAACCATGAGAAGAACACAGGACTACCAACCCTAGCATAAAGATCAGAAAAATCTGAATTGGGACCCAGAAGAGATAATTCCATGCACACTATATGAAAAAAAGCAAAGTATGAGTTTAGTTCCTAAGTTATTACATATAGATTTAACAAAATAAACCGGTGATGTGCTACAGAGGTAGGCATAAAAAATACCCTGAAAACTAACAAAGGAAAATAAAGCTGGGCTGAAGAATATTGTCATGAGTCATAGAAAACTGGACAGTTACTCCATGAAACATAAATATAGGTGGTCCATCTTGCAGAAGAACTAGCACACTGACACATTTTAAAAGAATGGCTGGGATCAATTATACTGACATTAAAAGAGAAGGTAGAAAGATAAATCACTGCAGTCATCAGAAACAGAAGCGTCACGTGACAGCCTTGAGATATTTACACTGCTTTATGTCATTCACACACATAAAAGCAACTGTAAGACAGTTTATATTATTGTATTGAGCATTTACACCAAGTTTTTTACCAATAAAACCCAAACGAACTTACACTTTTGTCCTGTCATTTTCAGGAGGAATTTCACAATTGCCATCCATGTGCCCTGACATGTCCATTGACATGACTTTCACAGACTGTTTTAAAAAACACGTTTATCCCTTCACACAAAATTAAAAAAAATGTGTTTCAGTGAAAATTAAACTGCCTGAGTTTAAATAAAGGACTGCAAAAGCCTCAATTCACATGCTCCATGCTTGTTAAGCAGCCTTTTATATGGCAGCAACACACAGAAGATGGGCAAGAGAGAGATGGGCTTGTTCAGCCTGGAGGAAAGAAAACTCTGGGGAGACCTTAGAGCAGCTTCCAGTACATAAACGGGGCCCACAGGAAATCTGGAGAGGGACTTATTACAAGGACATGTAGTGATAGAACAAAGGAGAAGGGCTTTAAACTGACAGAAGGGAGATTCAGATATTACAAATTCTTGACTATGAGGATGGTGAGTCACTGGCACAGGTTGCTCAGAGAAGCTGTGGCTGCCCCATCCCTGGCAGTGCTCAAGGCCAGGTTGGACGGGGCTTGGAGCAACCTAATCTGGCAGGTGTCCCCTATGGCAAAGGGGTGGAACTGGATGATCTTTAAAGGTTCCTTCTAACCCTAAACATTCTATGATTAAAACCTAAGTATTTGACAGAATTGCATCTCTAGCTACTTTTCTTTACCCTTGCATGCAACCTAGGTCCTCATACATTAGTATGCAAACACATACAGAAAAAAATGCAACAACAACACAGGAAAGTTACAAGACTCAGAGGCAAATTTTGTAATTTGAGTATTTCAAGAGTGAATGTCCTTTTTAGTGAGAGAAAGTACAAAGCACATCTGAAGTGATCTGAATTTCTAACTAAAAAAAATGCTATGTGAACTACTGCACAAGTTGTTCAGTATAAAATCAGAACTACTAAATTATTTTTAAAGTAAAAAACTTTATTCTGAAAAGGACTTCTCCTTAGAAGTCTTTGGTTACTGATGCAGTACATCACTCAAACAATAAAAGCTAGTGATTTTGACAGCATCCCCATCACTTGACCACCATCATTGCTACTTTCTTAAGAGCTGTTTTAATAATTTACACAACACACCATGTTGTGTGCTCCTTTACAAAGAGGGGAATATAAGTGCCCTACAGCTGTAAAGGAACACTGGGTTTCTAGGACATCAGTGCAGTTTTTGAAGTGTTAATATGAAATTCTTGCTACCTCTAAACTTGCAGTACAGATACAGTAACTGCGCCTGTAGACAGAAGGCACCAAAGTAAAGAAGTCTAGTGCTCACATCTATTTTGCCAAGTAAACACGGTGTGGCCATTCCAAGCCACTACTGCATCCAAGGCAGACATCAAAAAATGCTGCCCATAAAAAAATTATCCATACTCCTTCTAGACTTGCAGAAAAAAAGGAGATGGCCTAGCATAACAGCTGGGAATAAAAAAAAAAAAAAAAAAAAGGGGGGGGAAATCAGAAAATTGTAAAAAATAACCTAACAGATAAAGGGGATATATATACACATTGATGAAAAAACTTAGTTCAAATCTTATGAAAAACTAAGTTCAGATCTTCTCCCCTACTGAAGAAACAAATCCCTTACGTTCTCATCACAAATTTCCACAAATAAGCTTCAAAAAACATGGGATGTCTAATAATATGCCAGAGTTTAAAAGTTCCCTCATCAGCTTTCTAGTTCTTCCTGACTGAATCTAAGTATTTCAGCAGCTCCTCACTTTCAATTAGGCCACACCCATCATAACAAAGTTAGAGCAAATCCCAGATCTTAAAAAAAAAAATAAATAAAACTCTTGTAGGTTATGCTAACTTCAACTTTGATTTTCAATCCTTTAATACTACCATATCCCAAGCTTTGCACTGGTCCAGGTAACACTGATTACTCCTCAGACATTCCTATTTCTTTTCCTAAACTCTTGCTAGTGCCTGTCCTACTTCCTTTATTTGACACGTGCAGCAACATCAGCCTAAAACTACAGTGTAGTAGGCCTGTTCCTCCTCACCCCACTGCCTGCTAAAAAACACTGCAAAATTACAGAACAATTATTGGTCAAAGTTTTCAGTAGTAGATATTGTTTCACTGCCTGCTAAAAACACTTCACATAGCAACTACTAATCAATTCCTGGTCAAAGTTTTCAAGTAGCAGATGATGTTACTTGATGCATTATTGGAGGAGAAAACAGAAGTTCAAAACTGCATTCTTCTCAAGTCCTGTCATCCTGCAGGAAGCTGTTTTAAAGAAATTTAGATGTAGAATGTAAATGTTTTAAAGTAGATCGTAAAAATTACTCTCTTCTACCACCAATTTAGACTGTGCAGTCCACAGATTCTTCATTAACGGGAATTAAAATAGTTGGAGTACTAAGACAGGAAGTATATATGCAAACTGTGAAACTCCATTCTGTGTACCACATACTACATTCTATGTAGAATATAGCTACCTCCAAGAAAGGGCTGATCCAATTTAAATATTACATTTAATGCATTTACAATACAATCAAAGCAAAACTATTTTGTGCTGTAAGATGACAAGTGTCACATTATAAGCAAAAGCTCATGGTTTCACATCTTTACACACGCACACAAAAAGAAGACAAATGATAAATGCCCCCCAAAAAAAACCCACCATGTACTAATTGATACCATAAAAATCACAGAATGGTTTGGGTTGGAAAGGACCTTAAAGCTCCAGTTCCAATCCTCTGCCATGGCTCAGGACACCTTCCACTAGAGCAGGCTGCTCCAAGCCTCATTCAACCTGGCCTTGAACACTGCCAGGAATGGGGCAGTCACAGCTTCTCTGGGCAATCCGTGCCAATGTTTCACTACCCTCACAGTGAAGAATGTCTTTCTAATATCTAATCTAAATCTCCTTTCTTTTCGTTTAAGGCCATTATGACTAGCCAGCTTATGTATTTCAGAAAATACACATACTGTGGGTATATTCATGATTTTTGCCTCTTCCCACTCCCTGATTTACAACTGCAACTATGCAACCCCCACCCCCACAAGCATCCCTCCACCAGCAGGACACAAGGGCACTTTCTGGCGTGGAAAGAACAACTCCTTACGTCGGTTTCTCCCTCAGACCTGAACCACAAAGCGCACGGACCACAAAGCACTCTTCTAGGCTATAAAGTTCCCCTTATAACCTAATTAGCCCCTAGGGGCTCGCCTCCCCCTAGACGCTTACCCAGACGATGATTTCAGGGACAGCCCCCTCCTCCAAAAGACCCTTCCCAACGCAACACAACCGCTCCAGCCACTAGGCAGGTCTCAGCCCACCTCGTTGCCCCGCCGTTCCCCTCAAAGCCCCGCAGTACCGGAGGTAACCGAGGACGCCGGGGTCACGGGGAGGGAGGGGGGCGGACAGGCGGGCCAGGTCCCCCACGCCGTTCCAAGGCCTCACCCTGGCCGTGCCGCCGCGCTCGCTTCCGGGAGGGGCTGGGGCGGCCAGGGAGGGTCATTACCTCTTGGGCGCTGCCTGCTCCATGCCGCTGCTGGCCCCCCGACCCCACCGCCAGGAGGGGGGCTCCCGGCCGAGCCCCTGGGCACCGCCGGGCCGGCAGCCGCTGAACTCCTCACAACTTTCGCGCGAAGTCGCTGGCCCTTTAAACAGAGCCCGCGCCCTCCCTCGGCCGCCACCGCTCCCGGCCCCTCTCAGGCACCCGACACTACCGAGGCCTGCCCGGCTGCCGGCGGAGGCCCGCCCTCCCGCTCCCCTCAGTGGTTACACCCGCGACATCGTGAGTGCTGATGGGGCGGTGCAGAGGTCGCTCAGAGCGGCGGGAGGGACGAGGCCCCGCCCCGCCGCAGGAGGAGCGAGCGGTGTCGCGCCGGCGGGAGGGGAAGAGCATTGAAGCGGTGGTGCCGGGGCCGCAAGGCACGCCGGGAGGTGTAGTCCTTCCCAGAAACCGGCCGGACGTGATCCCTCGGGAGGGGCGCGCGGAGGGACCTGGCCTGGAGGAGAAGAAACAGAGCCTCGGGGCTCTGAGGCGCCGCCGGGGTGACCGACCGCCGTCCCACCCCTACACGCTCACCTCATCCCTCGACCCCTGGAGCTGGGCCTCCGGGCGAGGGCAGGCCCGGGGCAGATCCGTGGCCTGAGGCAGAGGCTGAGGACGGCTCTTCCCCCGCTGCGACCCGCAGGCCCTGTCTCCTCGGGGCAGCGCTGTCGGGCGGCCTGCGCCTTTCATCCGTCCGTCTGCTCCAGCCTAGGGACGTCTGCGCTGGGAGCCCAGCTGCATCAAGCCCTTCCTTGAAAAGTGAGGTCTTTTCGTGGACAACTGGCTCCAGAGCACTGCAAAAAGGAAGACTGAAGTTAGTCATGGCAGGACGGGGGAGATGCTCTGCCCAGCTGCCTTGGCTGAGGTGCAGCTTTTAGCTGAAAAACGCTGGCACGGGGCACTTGACTTTTTAATGCCAAAGCATACAAGTTATCCTGCAAAGCCATAGGAAGCTTTGGCTTTCACATAATTATTCAAGCTTTCACATAATTATTCAAGCAGATTTTAGGCCACTGAGTACCATGTGATAGTTACCTGCAATTTCTTGACCTTATGATTTTCTTCTGCTTATGTAGCAATTTAAGACACTGACAAAGCATCCAAGTAGATCCAGCCAAGTCAATACATGAAAAGCTCAAATGTTCAAGCCAATTTCTGTATCCTTTCCTGAAAGTATGTTTATTTGCCTGACTAGTGGAAGTTTAAGGCAGTAAAACACTTGGGCAAAATCCATAAAAATACTGAGGTGCCCAAGTTCCACTTTAAACTGATCTTAGATGTACAACAGCACTTGCCCTCTAAAAAGAATCCACACTTCATACCTAATTTCATCTCTTGAATGACTGAAGTCCTACTGTTGTGCAAGTCCTCTATTTTGGCTGACTCAATCCAATCCAGTTGACTCACTGTGGTTGGGCTAAATACACAATGGCAATATTGAATGAACCCATAAAACAAATCACCCACCACCATATGACCTTTTAGGTTTCTTTGGTTTTCTGAGTCATGGAAAAACTGCAATAGAACATCAGAGCTCTTCCAAGTATCATCCCACAGGCCAGAGTGGCTCACCAGCAGTACTGCCAGATGTGTGCATACCATAGACGACAGTTTGTAGGAGATGCCAAAAAAAAAAAAACACCGAGAAGGAGCCAGTGGATGCCTCAGATGGAGTGTGGTATGACTGCATTAGGAAGTGGTGAGGAAGAGCTCTGCAAGACTTCCTGTCTCTCAGTTCTAGGACAAGTGAGGTCAAGCAGGTAGAAGATGCCATGTGTCCAACTTTGGTTTACAGGGTGTGGCTGTATCCGCTGACCAATTACATTTCACCAGTTTCACCTAATGAAGGGAAGCCTGACATCCCTATATGGCTGTGGTACTCCTGGAATGCAGAGGCTGTCTCCACATCCTTTGACACAAATCTTTAGGCCAATATTTTTCTTTCAGGTTATTTCAGAGAAGATAAAATTTTCAGCTCCCCCTCTCAAGCCAAACCTGTGACAAACTATACATTCAAGCAAGGAAAAGAAGTCTTAGAAAAAATGCAGGTACTATATTAGTTGTAACAGCAGGACAAAGGGAACCAAGAAATGCTCCCTCTTCTCATTCACAGATATATTCTTTCTCTGGAAGAAGTTGGCTAAACAACCTAATCCACCATTCTTCCTTCCCCTTTAACGAGAGATGATAGGAACAAGAAAGATTTGAAAGAAGAAAAATTTGTCCAAAACCAGCAGATTTAGATATTCACTCTCTTCATTCAAAACAATTTAATACCACAGTCCCCACTCCCAGAAAATACCCTGACTACCTGATAATTGAGGAAGAAGTGGCAGGAATGTCCTCCATCTATGCCACTAAAAAAAAGAAAGTGTGAAAAAAAAAAAAAACAAGATATCTGAAACAGAAGAAGTTAAGTGAGGTGGAAGGTGCCAAAAAATATGGACTAATCCCGTAACTTTATCACGGAAGTTTCAGTTGTGCCATATTCAACCACCAGAATGCTTTCTAAGCACATTTATGCTGAAAATAAAATATCATATATAACACGTATACCACAGTATTCTTCAAGATCACTTATTAATCTCTTAGATTTTCAAATTATATTTTCAGTCAATTATATTGTAATAAATAACACCATTTCACCTTTCCTCTGCAACATGAATTTGGGAACTGTGCTGTGAAATGCAACACTGATTTGGTATGCATTACAATGCTGTACCTAGCCACCAGCAAAGAAAGAACTTTGGAAGGGAAAACAGACTCCCTCTGTTCTACTGCCTCATTCAAGCTTTCCAGTCAAGGGAAGCCTAGATGTTCAGGAGGCATGCATATACTATGAGATTGCTGGTGTCTAGACAACATGGAGATGAGGAAGTAGCAGACAATCTACATGAGTATTCCCATGATTTCTTCCAACAGTAGAACTATGTAACACTCTTAAGAAGGCAGGTGAGTAAGAAAAAGCTTAATGGAGCCCAATCTTAAAACTATATGAGAAAACAAACTGAATTACTCTTTTTCTTCTAAAGCTTTTAATCCACTTCACCAATTTATCAGCATGCATTAGGACTTCCTTCTCTGCAGAACTGGCATCAATACCTAATGTAATTCCTTAGACCAAAGGACAGATGAATGAAGACCATACTTAGTTTTCAAGTACTATAATTATTTTATATTATAATGTACATCTGTAAACAGATAAAATAATTTCTATTATAATTACTTATACTGCAGTGGAATCAAGAATCATGATGGCATGAATATTAGGTGCTGTATAATCACAGGCTAAGGCAGACCCCCAGCCCCTAAGTACACAAAACAGAAAGTTCCAAGATGTCAGTTCTGCCTCACTTGCACATAATTCATAATAAACCTGAGAAGAATAAAAATTACTGGTGAAGTTCATGTCTGAGTTTCTAACAGGTATTACTGATGGTAAGATTTAAATTTCAAATATATACTTCAAAGTAACTCATATATATCATGCAAATAAATAATGCATGTTCTAGTAGGAGCCTTATCTAGTTCCCTTGGTAGCAAATAAAAGCAGCATTTACTTTAGCAGGTATTCGATCAGGCTCATTTAAGTAACATGCATTGTAACTAATACATGGCGCTACAAGAAAACTGCAGAATTAATAGTACATGTTTTCCAGGAGATACATGATGCAGGGACTGTGAGAATGATGACCTTGGGCCCACTGTAGGAGGGGGGAAGACCATCTTAAGAAACTGAACGTACACAACTCCATGGGACCTGATGAAATCCTTCCACAGGTCCAGAAGGAGCTGGCAAATGAAGTTGCTAAGCCACTGGCCATCATATTTGAAAAATCATGGCAGTCAGGTGAAGTTCCCAACGACTGGAAAAAGGGAAATATAACCCCCATTTTCAAGAAGGGGAAAATGGATGACCCAGGGAATTACAGACCAGTCAGTCTCACCTCTCTGCCTGGCAAAATCTTGGAGCAGATTCTCCTGGAAGGCATGCTAAGGCATATGAAAAACAACAAGGTGCTTGGTGACAGCCAGAACGGCTTCAGTAAGGGGAAGTCCTGCCTGACCAATTTGGTGGCCTTCTGTGATGGGGCTACAAAACTGATGGACAGCAGTAGGGCAGTTGATGTCATCTACCTGGACTTCTGCAAAGTTTGACACTGTCCCACACAACATCAATGTCTCTAAATTAGAGAGACATCAATTTGATGGATGGACCACTCAGTGGGCAAAGAACTGGCTGAATGGCTGCACACAAAGAGTTGTGGTCAGTGGCTCAGTGTCCAGCTGGAGACCAGTAACGAGTGGTGTTCCTCAGGGATCTGTGTTGGAAATGGTCTTGTTCAACATCTTTGTCGCTGACATAGACAGTGGGATTGAGTGCGCCCTCAGCAAGTTTGCCGATGACACCAAGCTGCGTGGTTCGGTTGATACGCTGGAGGGAAGGAATGCCATCCAGAGGGACCTTGACACGCTTGTGAGGTGGGCTGATGCCAACCTGATGAAGTTTAACCATGACAAGTGCAAGGTCGTACACCTGGGTCAGAGCAATCCCAGACACAGCTACAGGTTGGGCAAAGAAGAGATTCAGAACAGCCATGCAGAGAAGGAACTGGGGGTGTTGGTCAATGAGAAAATGAACATGAGCCAGCTTCAGTGTGCGCTTGCAGCCCAGAAAGCCAACCATATCCTGGGCTGCATCAAAAGGAGTGACCAGCAGGTTGAAGGAGGTGTTCCTGCCCCTCTACTCTGCTCTTGTGAGAACTCACTTGGAGTATTGTGTGCAGTTCTGGTGTCCTCAACATGAAAAGGACATGGAACTGTTGGAACAAGTCCAGAGGAGGGCCACGAGGATGATCAGGGAACTGGAGCAGCTCCTGTATGAAGACAGGCTGAGAAAGTTGGGGCTGTTCAACCTGGAGAAGAGAAGGCTGCATGGAGACCTCATAGCAGCCTTCCAGTATCTGAAGGGGGCCTATAAGGATGCTGGGGAGGAACTATTCTTTAGGGACTGTAGTGATAGGATAAGGGGTAACGGGTTAAAACTTAAACAGGGGAAGTTTAGATTGGATATAAGGAGGAAATTCTTTCCTGTTAGGGTGGTGAGGCACTGGATTAGGTTGCCCAGGGAAGCTGTGAATGCTTCATCCCTCGCAGTGTTCAAGGCCAGGCTGGACGAGGCCTTGGGTGATATGGTTTAGTGTGTCTGGTGTCCCTGCCTATGGCAGGGGGGTTGGAACTTGATGATCTTAAGGTCCTTTCCAACCCTAACTATTGTATGATTCTATGTCATGAAGACCTTATGCTCTCCAAACAAAATATCCCAAGTCCTTCATCACATCCATCGGGCAACCCATTTCCCCATGTGTTTTCTGCCATTTCACTGAAGTAGCCCCCCAGTTCTTTCACAGGGTCCTCCATCTTCCCTGTCCTTCAGTGTCCTCTCCAGCTCCACTCACTGCCTTGGTATGCCAAAGCCTTCAATATCCTTACTGCCCACATAGATCTCCAGGCATATGCCCAGTTCTTTGCTCCTTGAACCCTCCACATCACTGATACCTCACCATGCTTTGGCCCACCTTGCTGTTAGCCCACGGAGTTACAAGTGTCCTGTGTTTGCAGCACAACCTGCTGTTCAGCTCACAGGGGAAGGTGTTTATCTTGCAGGAAAAGGCTGCAGGTCAGTCCACAGCATGGTCCCAAACCTAGCACCTAGAGACAGAATTTCACTTACTTTTCCCTTGCCATGGGGTGGACTGCCCTACAAACAGGGCATTCCCTCCTCTAGACATCACTTACGAGTTTTGTAAAAATAGGAACTTACTGTAATTACAGACCTCCAGCTTTTCATCAAACATGATTAATACTAGCCAGCTAAGTCACAAATGAGTGTGAAGGGGAGAAAGGCAAGGAATGGCAGGCAAGAACAGACAGAATGAATGCAGAAGCCTGATTTCCTTAGAAACCAATTCATAAATTCAGTAGACAAATAGTCAACAACAACATGTTTGCATGTCTCTGTGACTGCCTGATAGCAATCTGGTATGCTGAAAGTTGAAGAAAAGGCCTTGAATAAAATACCAGCTTGTTTATACAGAAGATAAGAAAAACTGACTTCTGCTTGTATTTTTTCCTATCATGTCTAATGTGAAGTAACCTTGAAGTCTTATCTAAGAATCTGTTATATACTTTTCTAACCCTGTCAATCATAAAATACTTAAAACAGCAGCATATTCTGTTTGAAAAATAGTTTGGACTAAAATTGAGAGTTTTAACTAAAAGTGAGTTTTTAATCAAGCTTAGGAATGAAGAACAGTTGTTTTTTATTTCTTCTCCTTAACTTTTCACAACTTAATGCTTAATTAATGTAATGTAAAAGGAAAATGACTTTTTGCTGGTCCAGCAAAAAAAGATGCAGTAAATAAATAACCAGGCAATACAGATACAGGTTCTGCTATCCATATCCGCTTTAATAAAATCAGCATGATTCACAAGATTCTTATTTGACATTAAAAAGAACAGTAACAACCTGTAGTAGTAAAAACTTAGCTGCACTGCCTAATAGACATCATTTTTTTATCCAAAATATTACTACTAGACCTAAAGAAATTTGTTGATTAGGATAGGATTTTTCTGTTGACTAACCATTTAGCTCACAGTCTTAGTAACAGGCTATATATAGACTAACCATTTGCTATTTTTCCTATTATAGCACACTATGGTAAAAATAAACCATGGATACAGAGTTGCTATTTACAGTTAACCACAGAAGATATTCCAGTCTGTACTACAGCTGCATTGATTGTGCTCATGGGATCTACGGACTACCATTGACTTGGAAAAAAAAAAATGTTATTTTGGTTTGTAAAACAATTACTGTTGTTGTGGTAATGCTTAGGGTTACTCTGGATTCCCTTCTACACAAAAATATTCCCTTTCTGGGGACAGCCATCTGTTCTCCAGTCTGCAAAGAAGTCTGCTCACACCCTAGAGAATAAATAAATAATATTTAACTAGCATGCCTTGATGCTTGTGTTCAAAGTGGAAACCAGTATCAAAAACTAAAGAACAACTGAATCATCATTACTTGATGAAGCAAGTGCTACATGAAATGTACGTCAGCTGCCTAAATACATACAGGCCTTATGCCCAAGGCTTTCACCACTGTGAGGGCTGCATTTTCTCCCATCTTCCTTTTGCTCCTGAGCTGAGAGTTGAGGTGTATGACAAGAATGTTTAGGGAAGTTTAGGATTTTTATTTTTTTTCTTTTAGGGACAGTGCTCTCAAGGGGCTACCGTGACCCATTCTTTCAGATTTAAAGAAGGTAAGGTTCCTTACCCTTGTGGGCGTCTCTCAGAAGTGATCCAAGAGAAGTATAAATAGGGGAGAAGCACAAGTGCGTAACAACAAATGACAAATAAGGAGAGTTCAATACAACTGGAGAGCATATTGTGAATACTGAGCACTACAAGAGCAATGCTGTAAAATCCTTACAGCTTATTCAGTTATAGGTCTTTTTTTGTTGTTTTTTTTTTTTGCCTGGGGTGTTGTTTTTTTTTAATGAAACCCTATTTATTATGTCTGAAATGCATCTCCATCTTGCTTCATAAATATCAAAAAACAAGTGTTTGGTATGTGGAGGAATCATTCTTTAATTAATGTGGAGGAATCATGCTTTAAAATCCAGAAACCACAACATTTCAGTTTCCTAATATTTTCCAAACTTTCCCAATCAAAACATGCCAGAATATCACAATTCAAGTCCAAATAAGATACTCCTGTAGCATGTACAGTCACACAAAAAAAACAGACCTACAACAAAATCAAAACCCAAACCCTAAATACAGTTCTAGTCTTAAAACTTCCCCCAAAAAGTTCAGTTGTCATAACAGCCATTTCATGACTGACTGTGAAGTAAGGATCTGATTACAAGATAAAATCCCACGCAAAGTAAAGATATATTCAAAACAAGAAAAAGATCAAGATTTGTACTTATGTTCCCATTCTGCTCTTAAAAGCAGTGGGAAGCCTTTCCCGCAGCAGCTCGTGTACCAAAGAAACAGTAAACCAGCAAATAACGAAGTTTCACAGAGCTACATTTATACAAGGTACTGAGTTGAGTCTCCTCTAACAGGTTCAGCTTGGTTCAATAGGGGAGAGTTTTACACATCCTCACCCCTACCCAGGATATGTACTTAAACTACTGTTACTACAGAGCAAAGGAACTGTCTGCTGAAAACAGAACTTTGAAGTGACTGAGTGTACATAGGTCAGGCTATAAAACGACAGCTAAACATAAAGCAAGTTACTATCTAGAGAGCTAATGAACCCCATTGAATTTGAGACCTAAACTTTCCCCATTATTCCTTTACTGAAAAATAGATTTTTCTTAGTTGCAAACAGAAAACTAGTGGAAGATTAATGGATTTCTTTGGTACAGAGTAAGAGTTTATCAACAGCTATCAACACTGCATTTTTACCCAGGCTGAGTTTAGGAAAAGTAAAATGCTCTGGTGGCATAATTTTCACTGTGGAGCAGAAGAAAAGAGAGCAATTCCATATGCTAGGAGCTTTCTTAATGGAAATAGTTAATTTACCACATGAGGAATATCACATGCATACCACTTCCACCTAAAATGAATCACTCCTTCCAGCTGAGAAAACTGAGGTCTTTTATCTTCTTCAGGGTGGAGTCCATCTCCTCCCATAGATCCCTACAGAGCAAAACTGCTAATCGTTTTAAAGACATTACTTCTTTTATGTTCATATAGCACATTTTAATATTTTCTAAACAAGAGAGAGCTCAGTGCTTCTGTGTAACCTTGAACTAGCCAGTACACAACTTCTGTTGCTTCATTCTTGAGCTCTCCTGTAGTTCCATGATCTAATTTGTTACACTAGTGGTGTTCAGCTGCTCTTACCGGATTAGCAATATGCAGTTTAAATTCCTTAAAGCTAATTTTAAAATGAATGTGCTAATTTGAATACTAGGTAAAACAATGAAAACTGAAAGAGAAGGAGGAAAGAAGATTAATAGATAGTAAATCCCTGCTTCATGCAGTTCAAACTAGGCAGAATGTCTCTAGGACCTGATCCAAAATCTATCAACATCAACAGAGTCTTTCTTTCAAATACACTTCTTTGGGGATCAGTTCTCAAAGGAAACTGGTGCCTAATTTGATCATAGGAGTGTGAATATGAACACAGATTTTTGCTTGACTAGTGTTTCCATCCTTGGCTCAATTAATCTCCCAGGAGGATGGAGGAAAGGTCAAAACTGGAGGCAGATCACATTAGACACTACAATTTATTTGACATAACCTCTTAATAATGTGTCATAGGTTCATTTGATTAAAAACAATGCAGTCAGAGAAGATAGACAGTGTAGAAGTGGTCCCCTTATCCTGGAATAGATACTAAGCATCTGAAACCTTAGGCAGTGGGAAAATTTGCTGTTCAGAGTCACAGGGGCATGTATGCAAAGTTGTATAATATACATTGCATATTAATGTATAATGCATTACAATATCAATGTATGCTATGCAATGCACATTATACAATATGCAATGGTATAGCAATTTTAAGTGAGAAAATATGTAGGAAGGGTGAAGTCACACTACTGTGTTAGAATGCCCACAGACATGTACACTATACATAAAGTAACAAGAATGACACAATATAAACAGAAATGCTCAATTCTATGCTGTATTATCAGCATTTATCTTGACCTTTCAAAATGGTCTTTCAAAAACAAATACCTCATTTTGATGGGTGTGGGATGCTCAACAGCTCTTAATTAAGCACCTCAAAAGCACCCTTTTAAACTGTGTTCCAAAGTGTATTGAATTAGACTCAACATGAACAATTTTTGGCACCTGTTCTTGAAATGAGGAAAAAAGAAAAGGCATGCTGAACCAAGATTATGCATTATTTTCCAGGAATTCAGCAATTTCTTGGGGAGATTAAATTTACTGCAGCTTTGAAATAACAGGTTTACTGCACATTCTGAACGGTTGAGTGTCTCTGCAGGACTGGATAACAGCTAGCACAAGGGTCTCGGGGGATTTTATTGTAGTTAACCCATCCTCCTGTTCTGTTCCTACTTTGCATGCAGAAGAGAATGTTTGTGCTTACTACAATATTTATAGCTGTAAGTATAGTCAGTTCCTTTCTCATTTTACTGTACCAGCTCGTACAAGAAATACGTAGAACTATATATAATATTATTGCTACTACTTTGCAGGATGTTGTATATATTGTAAAGCTGGCTTCCTAATAGAAGGCAGCTAAAGACGTCTGCACTTAAATCTGCCAAAGCTGATACAGCAATCACAAACATGTGTTGTTACACTTCTTGTGGCTCATCTCCACATGGTGCAGCTGTTGTGTTGGCTAAAGAAAATGCAGGCCCAAGGGAAACAAATTTAATTCAGCTGGGATGATTTCCACTAAAAAAAAAAAGTGTTTTAAGGAGAACAGGTGTCTTATAGTAAGAGGAATTGTTTGAGAGGTTTTCCCAAAACTTTCTTTGCCTTTAGGAAATCTATTCTAAAGTGGTATACCTGTGATAATATTCTCTTCCAGTCTAATTTTTAAATAATACCCTTCGGAAATGCAGGCGATTCCAGAAATTCTATTTTTGTTTGTTTCTCCTAGTCTTAGGACAGGAAGGCTAGCACAGGACCTTATCATGTAAATTAGAAGCTGGAAGGAGCCTCATTGCTGTTATTCTGAGTCCTCAGCCTCAAAAAGATTTGTTTAACCAACAAATGACTGTGCAAAGGAAGACCCACAGCCCATTTAAGTCACCAGTTGACACCCCTAGAGCTGTGCCAGTTTATCCCAATATATCTATTGTTTTAAAGTTAATTTTTTACTGAAGTAACTTAAATAGTTTCCCCCTAAATACGGTCTTAGTTACTCAAATAAGCTAAGCTATACTATGTAGTCTAATAAAACAGTATTAAGCGTATGACTTTCTTTTTCTCTTCCAGAAAGGCCTTGTGTACTATGATAACTCTTCTAGTACTGTCATGCATTTCTGCCTCTCTGCTTCCTGCATCCTCTGGTATATCGGAGTGGAAACTGACTGATGTTCAGCAGCTGAGACTCGGCAGCTTTCCTGCTGTGGTCAGTAGCAGATCCCACAGCGCTGAGGCAGCGGGATCTGTGGAAGCTGGGAAACACTTTTCGCAGCAGTCTCTCAGGAGGTCTCTCTCTCTCTGTCGGAGCTGACTGAATCTGCCCTTTGGACAGACATTGCAGCGGCCAGCACATCTTTCTCTTCCTGTTGTCAGCCCTCTTTCCAAAATAAGGTTCCTCCAGAGGGTAGTCTTCTGTTGTGTAGGTGTCTTCATACTGCAGTTTCCTCCTCTGGGCCTGTTTTTTTCTATCTCTGACAAGATCAGAATTCCTTCTCTTTGGGGAAATAGAAGTCTGAATGAGTGATGATTTTTCCACGCAGACCCCTTTCCTACAGAGTTGGGTTTTCTGTAGAATGTATAGGAGCTGTTCTCATCTCTTCCTTCTTAACTAAATAAATGTTATGATGACAAACTTCTGTTTTTCTTTTTGCAAGGTTAATCTTGTTAGCTCTTACATCAATCTTTATTGCTACATGTTGTGTCCTCAGAGTGTCTTAATACAGACCTTGGGTAGTGTTTTTAGGATTCTTCTCAAGTTTCTAAATTGGAGACCCAATACTCCTACTGAATTATTCCTTTTGAATAAAATCCAGAACTCAACAAGGTCAGTAACAAAATTCATGAGATTTTTGTTCTCTGTGCATGTCTGCACATAAAGACCTGCAACAAGTCTTGCATTTTCACAGACATGCCCTAACCAAGGGGAAAAAAAATTCTTCGGCTTTTGCCATTTTTCTCAGCAGGACTTGTGACAAAGCCCCCAAGTCTCACTGATGGTAACAACTGCCATGGCTAATGTCAAAACTGAAGAGTATATGGACCTGGACTACACCCTACAGGTGAAGAAAAAAGGATCCCAATTAACAAATTAAGGAGAACCAACTGTGGAATGAAACCTGCCTTCACAGTGAAGCCATCATGGGGACACTGACTCTTTACTGTGTATGTACAACCAGTATCTTTTCCAAAGACTGAAAAATAAGACTTTATTATTTGTAGAGTGAGATTAATTCAACAAAATGTCACCCAAGGAGGCTGGTTAAAATTATATCTGAATTTAAGAGTAACTTCTAGCTTTTCATGGTATTGGAGTATGCGCTTATCAGGGAAGTTTTATGTTTGAGGTTCAGGGAGAAGGTGATGGCCACCTCCTCTGAATGCTTTCAGATGAGTGATTTTCAAATGCTGCTGGCATTCTTCCAGGCAGAGGCCTGGCCATTAGATAAGCTTAACGTTATGGTGGCCATTTGCAAAACAGATGAGAGCAGAAATAGCAAGAGGAAATGAGAAACCGAAAAACCTGCTGGAACTCCCTGCAAATAAAGACCCAACCTTGGAAAGAAAAGCCTTAGATCCTTCCACTGAAAGAAAAACTGGTGAGCATAAGTTTTCAGCTACTAAAACTATACCTGCTCTCCAAAGGGAGATAAAAACACCAGCTGAAGGAAGACCACCACAACTGCCAGCCTCAAGAAATCTAGGAAACATTACACTCTCTTCTTTTGTGAGAGTCTGCACAGAAGTTTTTTGGTATGGCCAGGTAGGATCCATTATCTTCTGCATTCAGGTTGGGTTTTGAATGATGGAGCCCATGGCCATCCTGGCTAAGAATCTTGTTTAATAATCTCTCCTTTGCTAGTATTTAAGTTGCATCACATGGCATTGGAGAGCTACACTACCAGAAGATTTGACAGATGTCATTTGGCAGATCCTGTGGTGGCCATTCACATCACCCTTCCAGCTGCCTCTTCCCCCCCCCTCCGCCAGAAATTACTGCTTATGGAAGTGACTTGGTGATAGGGGCCATACCTGTAGTTCAGAAATTCTAGTTCAGTCAGATGCTGTAACTCAAACTTGCAGGCAGATGTAGCCGAAGGCAATTTGGTTTTGTTCTCCTTTTAGCAGCTGAAGTCTCCTTTGCACTGGTGTTTGGAAATGTTGTGAGCAGCAGTCCTTGGTTGCCATGTTTTCACTATCAGGGTTTCAGATGGCAATAGAACTGATGTGGTGGAAACAGGAATGGAGCTCTTTCCACTGATAATTTCCTGGCAGAGGGAAAATATGAAATCATATTTTTTAATCAAATAGCCTCACCTGAGTAAATATTCTAGCAATTCCAATTTTTAATTTTATTATCATAGCCTATTGCTCAAGCTGTGTTTTCTGACTGCAGCAATAATAGTGCTGTGAGCACATGAAGATCTTTTCAAACGGGCATTGTATTTGGTTCCTTTTACATTTCCACACATAATCTGCATAACATTATTAAATCTTTCCTGTACATTATTTAGCCTCTGGGATCAAATGAAATAATACATGACTGGAACTCTTTGGCCTTTGACAGACATCCTCTGGCAGAATTTTTGCAGCAGTTTGTTACTGTTCTCAGCTATTTTCTTGGCCTTTTCCTGGAATGGGACATGTCTCAGCTGCTCTGGTGGAAAACACTAACCTCTTAGCTTTTAAAGATGATAAAAGCGGGTTTGAGTTACTGCACCAGACTTTGAACTGAAATGGCTGAAGCAAAGGTATGGTCCTTTTCACCAGCAAACCTACAAGAAGAGTAATCCTTCAGATAGCTGTCAAAGGGGTTAGAAGGGGAACATGGAGCACTCACAAGCGTACGGAGAAATATTTACAGCATCTTGCCTCTGGTCTGTTTTCCATGGGAGAGCACAGGGAAGATGGGTATTCTCTTAAAATAGTGCAGGTCATGATATAAACACTTAACTTCTGCATCTCTTTTTTGTAAGCATATAGTTTCTTCTGAAATTGATCTGCCTTGTGGGCTCTCTCCTACTGTGGGTTGTTGAATCATCCTAAGTAATATGGTACCTAGATGGTGCAGAGTTTGTTTCCTTTCATCTGTACACCTGCACAAGGCTTTTTATGTGTGGGAGAGCTTTCTCTGCCTTGTGTATTTTGTAAATAACCTCTTCACCAAAGAGAACCCTCAGCTTATGATCTTTGCCGACATTGACATTACCACACTTTCTACACATTTAGGCTGAGTAAAAATAGTTATCCCAACATCCTTAATTTCTTTTTGAAAACTTCTCTATCAACCATTTAATATGGCAAAAGCACCACACCATCAGATTTTAATGAGTTCAGGCGGTTTCGAACAACTGAGCATTTAAATCTGCAAATAAACTTAAGAATGTGTCACTGCCTTCAAGAAGCATACTTTCATTTTAAGAAACCACAGCTGCAACAATAAATTTGACACACACTAAGTTGAAGGTGGCAAGGATTAAAGGTATGGAATTAGAAAGAAAAAAAGCCACCCTTGTGCTCTTGAACAGAGTACAGGACATAAATCAATGACTAACTTTGGCTAAGCTTTGCCTTATGGAAGTATGCAGCATTGCAGCTTCACAGTTATCAGTATTTGTCATCTTGAGTATCAGTACACATGCCAGATGCAAAAGAGGGGCCCAGAAGAGAGAACATGGGGGATGAGGAAAAGAAAATTAATAATTTCAGTGACAGTGTACACTATTTTGATGGGAAACAGAACTTCTGTAATATTTCAAGGGACTTAAGCATATATATGTGTATGGACAAAAGCTGTTGGAAATAAGCCTTTGACTTCAAAATGTGCCTGATTAAAAGAATACTGATAAGAATTAAGATGTGAACAGCTGGAACTTTGATTGCAGTTATGTTTTCTTCTGGATGTTTATTTCTAGATCACTTTTGCAGCTGCTTTTATCTACTCCTTAGAAGTTCTTGTGGATTTGAGGAACCATTAGCTGTAAAAGTAAACATCAGCTCTGGTCTGGTTTTATGTATCTTCTTGAAGCCATTGAGGGGGAAAGATAACATTAGACTAATGCTGCTTTAGATCAGACTTAAGCAATGCTTTAAGTAGCCTTTTAGCATTTTAGGCTCCACCTGTAACTCTAACAGCAAGTCGAGCATTTCTAATTTCTTCTTTACCAAGCATGTAGGAATTGCCAAACTCTAGGAATGAAAATACTCTTTCTGAAAAGCTTAAATTCATGTCTCAGTGTGGTTCAAGACACTGAATGCTTTCCAGTGTGCCTCTACTATCTACGTACAGGGATGGTCCTTAAAACCAGTTCTGCTGCTTTTCAGTATCTGTCATCTGTAAATATTATGCTTTGAGTAAAACAGATCTGCAGTTTTGACTCCACTTCACTCTATTTTGTTATTGTAGTTGCTTAAGAGTTTTTAATAACTGTGGTTTGTATTTGCTCAAGAGCTGTCTGCTTGGAGAGTGGAGAAAGGTCAGGGTTAACCTTGCTAAACCTTGGCTAATGACCTTTATCAGTGGTCTCCTTTTCAGATCTCAGGAGTGTCAGCAATGCTGCTGTGGCCACCAACGGACTGTCATACCAGCTCGGGCTGAAATAAACACATTACATTATTACATTTACTTTTTGCTTCTTCCCAATAGAAATTCTTACCATGCCACACAGTTCAAAGCCCTCTGGCCAAATTCAGGGGGCCTTCTCTATTTCCATGTTTCATGAAGAGTTCAAGCACAAGATACATTTTGTTCAAGAATCCTTTCAGGTGGCTTTGTGAATCTTCTTGTAGGGCCTTTCTTGGATTCAGAAAATGTTTTCTCACTTACTATAATCATCTTTGATTTCTCTGTTCTGACCATTTCTGTTAATGATT